GGACCAGGAGGACCCAGAGCCTCCACACATTAAAGAGGACCAGGAGGACCCAGAGCCTCCACTCATTAAAGAGGAACAGGAGGACCCAGAGCCTCCACACATTAAAGAGGACCAGGAGGACCCAGAGCCTCCACACATTAAAGAGGAACAGGAGTTCACATCCACTCCTGTCCCTGTGAAGAGTGAAGATGATAAAGAGAAACCTCAGTCCTCACAGCTTCATCAAAGACACACTGAACAGATGGAAACTGGAGCTGATGGAGAGGACTGTGGAAGACCAGAACCAGCCAGGAACTCAGATCCAGATACACATTTACAACCTGAGACTGATGACAGTGATGATTGGACAGAGACCAGAGAACCTCAGTCAGGTTTAACCTTTCTCAATGATAATAAAGTCCCTGTCAGTGACTTGACATGTAGTATTGACGAGAGACCATTCAGCTGCTCTGTGTGTGGGAAAAGATTTGGCCGCATGACAGATGTTAAGAGACACATGACGACGCATACGGGAGAAAAACCATTCAGCTGCTCTGAGTGTGGGAAAAAATTTACCACCAAGGCAGATTTGAAGAGACACATGAGCACTCACACAGGAGAGAAACCATTCAGCTGCTCAGTTTGTCAGAAATCTTTTTCACAGAGTGGACATTTGCAGAAACACATGACAGTCCACACAGGAGAGAAACCATTTTGCTGCTCTGAGTGTGGTAAAAAGTACCCTCGCAAGGAATACTTAGTTCATCACATGAGAACCCACACAGGAGAGAAACCTTTCAGCTGCACTGTTTGTCACCAAAGATTCACTTGGCATTACCAGCTCAAACACCATCAGAGTGTCTGTTCTCACTCCTCACAGCGTCAGAACAGAGAGGCAGACCCTCCAGCCAGCAGCTCAGGTGAACAGATGGACACAGACTCTGATGGAGAGGACTGTGGAGGACCAGAACAAGCCAGGAACTCAGATCCAGATACACATTTACAACCTGAGACTAATGACGACACTGGAGAGTCTACCTAACCTGAGACTGGTCACTGATGATAACTGGAAAGAGACCAGAGAACCTCGATCAGGTTTAAACTCCCTAAAAAAATATGATGATGTCCCAACTGACATGTGGCATTTAATATTAACCAAAAATAAATGAGATTTTCTGAGTGTGGTAAAAGATTCGTCTGCTACAGTCTTTAGAGACATGAGGATTCACACAGAGAGAAACCATTTTGTTGCTCAGTTTGTGGGAAAAGTTTTTAACAACAGATTCACCAGGCAGTCACACGTCAAAGGTCAGCAGTGTGTGTTTTTGACAGCAGCTGCAGTAAAGCTGCTAGTTCAGATGAAACTTTACTAAATCATTCCTAAGCTAAGACTCCTTCCTAAAAGTTTTTAGTCTAAGTTAGGAGGTCTATTAGAGCACTCTCAGAATGTTTGGGAATACGGCCCCTGGAGTTTTATTTTGAAGTTCAGCAACTCAACTGCCCCTGAAGCTGTATTATTTACTGAGGCTAACTTCACTCTGTTTGAACAAGATGGCGTCTAGCAGTAGTAGTGGAGCATTTAAAACATCACCAGTATCTGCGTTACAAGTTGAAATGGGGGAGATGCCTCTACGAATGAGAAGGGTCAAGCTTTTGTTGCCATATTGGGTTAATTCTCAAGGGGAGAGTAGATCACACCTACAAAATCCATTCTACATGATTGTTGGGAGCATCAAGGAGCATCGTGAAGCATCCTACTGGACTATGTTCACACATCAAGGAATGTACGTGAGCTTCCATTTAATTACTTGAGAGAAACAGGAATCACAAGGGTATTTGCATCTATTGCTCCAACTCCAGTCCAAGAGGTGGCGGTAATGCGATTGAAAGCTGGTTCGCCAACTGCCATTAAACCTCATTAAGAAAGAAAAAAGATGGCGTCCAGCAGAAACAAGTGTTAGCAGAGTGTCTTTGTTGTGTTTTTGAAGTGTGAACATGTCTAAAGTCCAAATGCTGAGATCGTTGGTGAAGCAGCGACTAACTGCGGCTGCTGAAGAGATATTTGGGCTGTTTGAAAGAACGATAGCAGAGTACGAGGAGGAACTTTGTCGATCAAAAGAGGAGAACGAGCGACAACGGAAACTACTGGACGCTGTTTTCAACCCTCAGCTTCGGTTACACAGAGCAGGTTTGTTCATTAAACATTACAAGTTCATTATTAATGATATAACTGCAGCTTTGTTCAATAAATATTCATTCTGTCGACAATTTAAAGCCACGTTAGCTTCTCTGGTACCATTAGCTTCTGTGGTGTCGTTAGCGTCTCTCGTGCCGTTAGCTTCTCTGCCCGTGTGAATTCTAGCCTGAGTTTCCTGTTGTTAGCTGACAGCTGAGGTGTCATGAGAGAAGTATAAAGTGTCAGGAAATAGAAATACTCAAAGTACAAGTAGTGATTGAGTAAATATACTGAGCTACTTTCCACCACTGGTGACTGAGTTGAGAAACTGCATGAAGTTAGCTAATGCTGGAAGCTGATGTTACATATCAGGAAGGTGGCTTTCAGTGGTCCACAGCATTATTTATGATCGGTTGTTCTGGGGCTATATGTTATATCTGGGATTATATAACAACATCATTACTGGCACTTCATTTACACTGAGTGAACACTGTGAAGCTGTTTGATGCTCAGAGATCTGTAGAAGTTCAGTAAGGAGTTTTTGAGCTGTGATGTGAATGAACGACAACATTTCTCAGTAACATCTGTGTGTTTCCTGTTTCCTGCAGACGTCCAGCAGCTGTTGGTGGTTAAAGAAGAGGTTCCCCCTGAGCAGCAGGAGTGGAGCTCCAGTGTGGACCAGGAGGACCCAGAGCCTCCACACATTAAAGAGGACCAGGAGGAACTCTGGTTCAGTCAGGAGGGAGAGCAGCTTCAAGGGCTGGAGGAGGATGATATCATCAAGTCAATATCCACTCCTGTCCCTGTGAAGAGTGAAGATGATGAAGAGAAACCTCAGTCCTCACAGCTTCATCAAAGACACACTGAACAGATGGAAACTGGAGCTGATGGAGAGGACTGTGGAGGACCAGAACCAGCCAGGAACTCAGATCCAGATACACATTTTCAACCTGAGACTGATGACAGTGATGATTGGACAGAGACCAGAGAACCTCAGTCAGGTTTAAACTTTCTCAATGATGATAAAGTCCGTGTCTGTGACTTGACATGTAGTATTGACGAGAGACCTAGCTGCTCTGTATGTGGGAAAAGATTTGGCCGCATGACAGTTGTTAAGAGACACATGAGGACACATACAGGAGAAAAAACATTTAGCTGCTCTGAGTGTGGGAAAAGATTCAACACCAATTCACATCTGAAGAGACACATGAGAACTCACACAGGAGAGAAACCATTCAGCTGCTCAGTTTGTAGGAAATCTTTTTCACAGAGTGGACAGTTACAGAGACACATGACAGTCCACACAGGAGAGAAACCATTTTGCTGCTCTGAGTGTGGTAAAAAGTACCCTTGCAAGAAATACTTAGTTCAGCACATGAGAACCCACACAGGAGAGAAACCTTTTAGCTGCACTGTTTGTCACCAAAGATTCACTTGGTCTTACCAGCTCAAACACCATTAGAATGATAGACACAGATGTTGATAGAGAGGTATGTGGAGGACCAGAACCAGCCAGGAGCTCAGATCCACATACACATTTACAACCAAAATAAATGAGATTTCAAATGTAGCTCCTGCCATCTGGTCGCGCTTTTTACGTCACTACAACAACATTTGGCTGGCACACGAACAGACACAGTGACTGAAATAATAGCAATAATAGTAAAAATCGGACAAGAATAATCCCATGATGACATTCTTTAAAACGCGAGTTTTAATCATTTATCATCTTGTGTGTGTTTTTCAGAGTAAACCTGTAATTCCAGTAGCACTTCTGTACTTTTATTTTGAAGCTCAGGAGAGTCGCTCCGGAGGCTGTATTCTTCACTGTGGCTGACTGTGGGTGTTTCTCAAAATCAGGGAGTCTTCCCTGGTTGGATGAGTCCCTCCAGGGAAGGATTCTCCAGAGGCAAGGCAAGAGTCCTTCCTAACATTTGGTGAACACACATTAGAACACGCGAACAAGTGTCCCCAGGTGCGCATCATTAACCCTCAGCAGACTGAGGGGGATTCAGTTACTGTTATCATTTTGGTACTTTCTAATGTTTTGAAGTTTGAACAAATAAAAGCAGTATTTCCAAGTTGTGACTTTTAAGGAGAATATTTTTCTGGATTATACTTAAAAAACATGCGTTCATAATGACGGTCAAGTAGCCTGATGTGGTGGCAAATAATAATGACAGAGCAATCAATACAGTTCAATAGCACATTTATTATGTATACAGTGATGTTACAATAGTTGGAACAAGCAGGTTGGAGGAACTGAGCAACAGAGACAGATGGCCTGGAGAGAGGACAGAGAGAAGCCCCAGAGAAGTCTCTGCCTGTGTTTCTTAGAGCCCAATTCGACCCCATATCTCATATGTTCAGTGAGGACCTAACTTCCTAATAAGGCAACATTCAGTGGCCAAGTCAAGCACCACATTCCACACATTCCATCTGTCCCTGACTGCCAAGCCCTGAGGCAATATTAACCCAATAAGGAGTGACTGAATGGGAATATAACAATGTCGTAGATACTAATGTGAATAGTATAATCAACGTAATATTATGTATGATGTACGTATGTATCATATGTATTATAAAACACTACACTGACCTGGAGGCCTCTTTTGGGCCTTCTGCTGACCCGCCTGTTACCTTAAGCATAACTATCATCCATTTCCATCAGTGATCGAGGCTAAAGGCTGGAACACAACAAAATGCCTTCACAGTATTGATAAAGTGTCTCGGTCAGAGAGAGGTGGCAACACTGAAACAATACTTAGCAGATCTATCTATCTCCCAAAGGATTAAATGATGAGGTATCATATCATGCTATAAGGGATTTGGGGATCTTGTCAGGTTTTGGAGTTGGAGAACCTTTACAAACACGATGAACCCAGAGGTGTAAAGCACGATGGAGAGATGAGCCACATCAGTCCAGCAGAGGGTTAATGCTTTTCTTTTCCCCTTCCTCTGGAGCCAGCTTTCAATGTGTGTGTGTGTGTATGTGTGTGGGTGGGATTTCCTGCTGTTTCCCAAAACATAAAAAGTGTTTATGTTCATCAACTTGTTCCTGCCACGTTCACTCTGCTCTTCGACTTCTCCCCAGAGTGAGACCATTTGAGGTTACTCAGTTTTCGTGAACATATTTTGATTTCAAACGCCTCTAGACTTCATCTTAAAACAGCACACTTGGAACAGTTCATGTTCATATGTTCACCACTGTTAAAATGTGAACATGTCTAAAGTCCAAATGCTGAGATCGTTGGCGAAGCAGCGACTAACTGCGGCTGATGGAGAGATATTTGGGCTGTTTGAAAGAACGATAGCAGAGTACGAGGAGGAACTTTGTCGATCAAAAGAGGAGAACGAGCAACAACGGAAACTACTGGACGCTGTTTTCAACCCTCAGCTTCGGTTACACAGAGCAGGTTTGTTCATTAAACATTACAAGTTCATTATTAATAATATAACTGCAGCTTTGTTCAATAAATATTCATTCTGTCGACGTTTAAAAGCCACGTTAGCTTCTCTGGTGTCCCACAAAGCTCTGTGTCAGGGGAAACAGATCTCGATGGGCAAGCTGTGTTCATAAAACACCAGAGCTGTATTTACTCAGGCTGCTGGTAATCCTTGACTCACAGCAGACTCAGGATAGGCCTAATTTTCGCAATATTACGCAGATGAAAAAATGCAGTCCGTGAGGTTTGTTTTAAATGACAATTAAAAGACAAATCTTGATCAAATATTACTCTGGGGTTTCTTACGGTAGTGCTAGAGGCCAGAGCAATGCCATCTAGAGAAACTATGTCATCAGATAAAGAGTCTCTGAGTTGTTTGGGGCCAAGAACAATAACTTCAGTTTTGTCTGAATTTAACATCAGGAAATTGGTGCTCATCCAGGTTTTTATGTCTTTAAGGCAGTTATGAAGTTTAGTTAATTGATTAGTTTCTACTGCCATTTTAGATAAATACAATTGTGTATCATCCACATAACAATGGAAATTCAGAGAGTGATTTTTTTTTTTTTTTACTTTTTTAAAAAATGTATTTACATGAAATTTACAAACAAAGAACATGAGGTCATCATGGGTGTTACAGTTAAAATCACAATATATTTTTCCACATACATCATGGTATAATGTCATACGATTCAAAGTGCATACATAATCCATTTTTCCCAGGATTTACTACATTTCTCCACCTCAAGTCTTAAAACAAAAGTAAGTCTCTCCATAAAATAAATTTCTTTCATGATCCTGCGCCACTGGTCCAGCGTTGGGTTATAGCATTCCTACTACTTGCCAAAAGTATCTTCAATAAGTATTTATCCTTGTGTTGGATTGTTTCGGGTATTTTACAAAGATATAAAGTAACAAAGGAGTAGTCTAACTCCACCCCCATTATTTTATTTATCTCTGTAGACAACTCCCTCCAGTATGACTGGATTTTCGGACAGGCCCAAAAGACATGGAAATGATTAGCCATAGAGGTTCCACATTGTCTCCAACAGAAGCCTCGGCTCTGTGTGCCTATTTGCAGTGTTGTTATTTTAGGAGTTATTTAAGGTTTAATTCTATGTTTCCTGTTTTCTGCAGACGTCCAGCAGCTGTTGGTGGTTAAAGAAGAGGTTCCCACTGAGCAGCAGGAGTGGAGCTCCAGTGTGGACCAGGAGGACCCAGAGCCTCCACACATTAAAGAGGACCAGGAGGACCCAGAGCCTCCACACATTAAAGAGGACCAGGAGGACCCAGAGCCTCCACACATTAAAGAGGAACAGGAGTTCACATCCACTCCTGTCCCTGTGAAGAGTGAAGATGATGAAGAGAAACCTCAGTCCTCAAAAATTCATAAAAGACAAACTAAACAAATGAAAAAAGAAAAAGAAAAAGAGGACTATGGAGGAACAGAACCAGCCAGGAACTCAGATCCAGATACACATTTACAACCTGAGACTGATGACAGTGATGATGATGATTGGACAGAGACCAGAGAACCTCAGTCAGGTTTAAACTTTCTCAATGATGATGAAGACCCTGTCAGTGACTTGACATGTAGTATTGACGAGAGATCATTTAGCTGCTCTGTATGTGGGAAAAGATTTGTATGCATGACAGATGTTAAGAGACACATGAGCACTCATACGGAGGAAAAACCATTTAGCTGCTCTGAGTGTGGGAAAGGATTTGGTCGAAAAGCACTGCTGACATCACATATGAGCAATCATACAGGAGAAAGGCCATTTAGCTGCTCTCAGTGTGGGAAAAGATTTTGTCAAAGTGGAGATCTGAAGAAACACATGAGCACTCACACAACAGAAAAACCATTTTGCTGCTCTGAGTGTGGGAAAAGATTTGGTCGAAAAGCACTGCTGACAGCACATATGAGCAATCATACAGGAGAAAGACCGTTTAGCTGCGGGGCTTGTGGGAAGCGATTTCGTCATAGTGGAGATCTGAAGACACACATGAGATATCATACAGGAGAAAGACCATTCAGCTGCTCTGAGTGTGGGAAAAGATTTTCTCAAAATAGTAATCTGAGGACACACATGAGATCCCATGCAGGAGAAAAACCATTTAGCTGCTCTGAGTGTGGGAAGAGATTTCGTAGTCGTGGAGGAGTGAGGATACACATGAGCACTCACACAGGAGAAAAACCATTTAGCTGCTCTGAGTGTGGGAAAAGATTTCCTCAAAGTGGAGATGTGTGGGCACACATAAGAACTCATACAGGAGAAAAACCATTTACCTGCTCTGAGTGTGGGAAAAGATTTTCGCAATCAGGTCATCTGAAGACACACATGAGAACTCATACAGGAGAAAAACCATGGAGCTGCACTGAGTGTGGGAAGAGATTCCTGCTCAAAGGCACCTTAGTTAGTCACATGAGAATCCACACAGGAGAGAAACCTCTCAGCTGCCATGTTTGTGACCAGAGATTCACTTGGCCTCGCCAACTCAGAAACCATCAGTGTGTTGGTTGTCAGTCCTCACAGTCTGATCTGAGTCAAACTGAGGAGAACAGAGAGGCAGAGCCTCCAGCCAGCAGCTCAGCTGGACAGATGGAAACAGAGGCTGATGGAGAGGACTGTGGAGGACCAGAACCAGCCAGGAACTCAGATCCAGATACACATTTACAACCTGAGACTGATGACCAGACTGCAGAGTCTTCTGAACCTGAGACTGATGATAGTGACGATGATTGGAAAGAGACTAGATAATCTCAGTCATGTTTTTGCTGTGAACTTGTAGCTTCCTGTCAGTTGTTAGCAGTTAGTAGAAGGTTAAACTGTGACTGCGGCGCCTTTTAAATGTCAGGACTTATTCACTGTAAGCTGGTAACAAACTTACGCCTCTCCAGTTCATGTATTTATAGTATTTGCCAGTTGCATTGGAGCTCCATGGTCACAAAATGCGACTGCGAGTCACAGTTTGGATCTCTCCTGGTCACACTGTCGTTTAAATCATTAAGTTAAACTCTTACAGCTGCGCCGCTAAACATGGATGATTTATTCATAACGATAACAGAGTACGAGGAGGAACTTTGCTGATGAAAAGAGGAGAATGAGCGTCAACGGAAACTACTGGATGCCGTTTTCAACCCTCAGCTTCGGTTACACAGAGCAGGTTTGTTCATTAAACATTACAAGTTCATTATTAATAATATAACTGCAGCTTTGTTGAATAAATATTCAGTCTGTCGACGTTCAAAGTCACGTTAGCTTCTCTGGTGAGGAAAGACTGGAATATCAACATCTTGCCGGCAGACAAAGGGAGATGCACAGTGGTGCTGAAGACAGCGGACTACCATGCCAAAATAACTGCTCTGCTCAGTGACACAGCCACATATGAAACACTGAGGTGTGATCCCACCAGTGGCTACAAAAAGGAGGTCAGATCATTTACAAAAACTGGGAAAGGACAAAATCATTGTCAGACCACTAGTATTATCAACTGTACCCTGGTGAGGCCATCCCATGCATCTGTGGACTCCCCAAGATACACAAGGAAGGAGCACCACTAAGACCCATCATCAGCAGCATCAACTCAGTCACGTACAACATCTTGTAGTTTATCAGGCCTTCCTTATTGCAATGACAAAAAGATGGTGAGATGATGGTGAAGAAAAAGACTCCGCTGATACAGGCTTGTTTCGGACCAAAAGGAGTTTTATTTAGCAAGCCAAAATATCAGTTTCAGATTTCTGCAGCAATCTGAGAAAAGATTCAACCAATCTTTGAAACTCTCTCTTGTCTGCCCCCCCCGAACTCCACATTTTATAGCCTGTAAGACATCATTTCTGATAGCATAATGAGAAACAGAGCCATCCTCCTAATCAAAGGTGGTCATTTCCTTCTCCAGTTTCAGAAGATTATTTGTCTATGCAAAACAAACGGATGTATGCATTCTTTTAATTTCCACCGGAAGGGTTATGGATGTAGATTCTACATGCGTAAACACGATATGACCGTGGCGCCTGACTGCTCCTTGGCAGGCCACTTATATATTGGGTCTATATGTCATGAGGCCCAAAGCCTTCAAAATGTTCCTTATTAGAAACAATTGCAGTGCATGTCATGTAATTAGCATGCATGTATCCTGTGGATGACCCCTTGTATCTGGGCAAACTAATGGAGTGTAGGCCCCACAGCACAGTTAGAATGATGGATTCATCCTAAACGACAAGAGTCCGGGTGGACAGCAGTCTCTAAATACATTCAAAAAATAATCAGCATTAATGTACATCTGATGAGCAGACACCTCAACCCCCTTTTAAACTCTTGGTGTCACAGATTAAAAAGGTATTAGAAAGATAGAAAGGTGCTCTACTGGACTGAGATCTGGTGACTGTGGAGGCCTACAGTGAACTCTTTGTCATGTTCAAGAAACCAGTTTGAGATGATGTAAGCTTTGTGACGTGGTGCGTTACCTTGCTGGAAGTAGCCATCAGGAAGTTTCCAGGCATATTGTAGGATGACTCAGGGCAGTTTGACAACCTCCTGTCTGTCACCAAACCATATAGCTCTGGGTATCGAACAACATCTACCACCAGTTTCTCCTGGTGGTAGCTCACTATTTTTAAAGTGTGAACATGTCTAAAGTCCAAATGCTGAGATCGTTGGTGAAGCAGCGACTAACTGCGGCTGCTGAAGAGATATTTGGGCTGTTTGAAAGAACGATAGCAGAGTACGAGGAGGAACTTTGTCGATCAAAAGAGGAGAACGAGCGACAACGGAAACTACTGGACGCTGTTTTCAACCCTCAGCTTCGGTTACACAGAGCAGGTTTGTTCATTAAACATTACAAGTTCATTATTAATAATATAACTGCAGCTTTGTTCAATAAATATTCAGTCTGTCGACG